ATTAATTGTCGATGTATGTAGTGCAACATGCTTTAGGTTGTGGAAAATAGTTAGCCAGGGCCCACAAAGAGATTTTTATCGCGGGTAAGCCTAATCATAGAGGTGTAACGCCAAAAAAACTGTAAATAATACATGTATAAATTTCCATTTTTTTTTTTATTGTGTTATTTAAATCATATCCTTAATATTCACTTACATCCCCCCTGTACAATACATTGGGGTAAATATGTAGTATCACTCTCAGCTTTTCACTTCGATAGTCCCTCATCTTCTCCCTCCCATCCTGCTCTCGCCTGTCCTGCCGCTTGATGAAGCCCGATAGATTAGCGCATATCGAGGCTCAAGCGACAGCTCTCTTCTCGAGGACGGCATCTCGCACAGAGACTCGCACTCATCGTCGCGCGCATCACTGTGCAAGACTCTGTGCTTCGCGGATTCTTGTGCTACTGTTCGCTATCGATCACCGCTTCTCCGCTCTCTGCTCTCTCAATTATATACTGTGCTTTGGGATGTCAGCAATACATATATAGTTTGTCCTCAGTCTCTCGTCTCTCCTGAATCAATTTGATATCTACGTAGATATCACTACTCTTTTTACATGCGCTATAATATATATATTGTTATATCCTCAGCTGATCCAATACTGCATCTCTGACACATATAGTATCGTGATACCCTATTATTTTACACTCCATACTCATACTGGTGGTGGGTTCCAGCCTTTCACGGTTAATCTCTCGGATATTCTCAAGCTCTCTCTCTCTGATACTCACGAGCTCTCTCTTTCTCTGCTTCACTCGTTTCTCATTGATTACAGCTTCTATCTGAATTGCACATTTTCAGTTGAAACTCTCCGCGCCCTCCTTCTTAATGTGATCTACCCTCGATCGCTTCTTGCACGTGTGATATCACACTATAGTTCAACCATAAGCTTTAATCACCACTTTGACTTCCGGTGATATTATCTATAATCTCACTTGGTACTCACAGTGGCTTCTATTGTCTTGTATTCAACAGCCTCATGCTCACTTTTCATGATAGACATTGTCTGCTCTCGACCGTCTCTCGATTACTATCGTATACAGTTTATACACACTTCTTCATTGATTCACACTCTCATTCATTGATTCCACACTTCACTCTTCGCATACGACACTTTATATATATACGATAGACACATATTTCATTGATGTAGTTCACATCCGTGGTGTGCATTGATCTCACCGATTTCTTCATGTCGTATACAAAACACTTTCTTCATTGATTAACAGCTTCTTCATATCGATCACACCACTTCTTCATTGATTCAGAGCGTACACTATCTTCATGTAGTATCTAACAATCACCATCTGTCGTATATAGCATATTACCACACCTCTCGTCTCTCTAGATTACACTTCTTCAATATGAATTCACACTTCTCTCTCTCTTGATACACACTTCTTCAAGCTCTCTTCGATTACACTTTCTTACATTGTTACATCACTCTCTATATACATTGATACTATACCTAAGCTCGTCTCTCTCTCCGTGGTGGATACGATTGATCGCACTCTACACGCCTCTCGCTTCCACTACTTCTTCATATACACACTTCGTCATTGGTACACACGTTTTCTTCTTCGACTTCCGATGGGGAGAAATACACCTTCATTGATAACACGCACTTTGTCTCGTTCCCAGGCTTTTGATATTCACACTCTTCACTTGATACAACTTCTTCAGTTGATACACA